GGGATCATGACCCGAACCAAAGGCAGACGCTTAACGACTGAGCCACCCAGGCGCCCCCATTGAATTTTTTTAATGTTTGATTATCTTTTATACGCTGTTCAGAGAACCTGGAGAGTTAGCAGTGAACAGGACAAATAAGCCCTCTAACTCTAATAGGTTTTGTTTGGTTATTATTACTCTTTGCATATTGTGGAAGTATAACTTAGGAATGTATGCAGATCTTACGTGTACAGCTTGGTGAATTTTGACATGTGCATAACACCTGTGTAAGCACCTGGGTCAAGTCTCAGACTTCACACCCTCCTCAAAGGAGGTGTAACAAGAAACAACAAACAGAAGCTCAGTGCAGGAAGCAGTGGGGTGATTAGATTGAGTGGTGGTTGGAAGCGGCCTCTCTGAGGAAGGGAGGTTTCACCTGAATCTGAATGAGCGGAAGGAGCCGGCCATGCAGGGATGGGGGGAGCAGTGTTCCAGTTGAGGGGCAGCTAGTGAAATCCCTAGTTTAGGGATGAGCTGGATGGGCTTGGAGAGTCACAAGGCACCAGTGTGGTCTGAGCACAGGAGGCGTCAGGGAGGGGGCAGGTCCTGGAAGGCTCTGTAGGCTCGGGTCAGGAGTTTGTTTTGCATTCAGAGTAGAGAGTCATCAGAGGGCTGCAGACAGGAATGGCACTATTCAGTTTTATTTTCTTAGAGCGTGTGAGCAGAGGGTAGGGGGTGGGGGGCGCAGCGTGAGCAAGAGAATCTTAAGCAGGCTCCACACCCAGCCGGAGCTGGACTTGGGGCTCAATCTCATGACCCTGAGATCATGACCTGAGCTGAAATCAAGAGTCAGATGTTTAACTGACTGAGCCACCCAGGTGCCCCTGGCACAATTTAGTTTTTAAAGAACTCATTCTGGGTTTGGTATAGAAAGAGTATTATAGGGGTGCCTGGCTGGCTTGGTTTGTAGAGTATGTGACTGTTAATTTCAGGGTTGTGAGTTCAAGCCCCACTTTGGGTGTGGAGCCTACTTAAAAAAAAAAAAAGTATTGTATGGGGCAAGAGAGAAAGCCGTCTTCCAAGCAGAAGGTTGCAGTAAATTTTTGAATTTTATTTTGAGGGTAGGATCAGTAGGACTTGCTGATGGGTGGCAAGGAAGAGGTAAGAGGAAGAAAGAAATCAGGGAACATCTAGACTTTTGGCTTGAGCAGTTTCCTATGTAAAAGCCACAAGAAATGAAGTAAACATCACTGGGGGCAGAGTGCAGAAAGTCAACTTACGGCACCTAGTGTGTCTGGGTGCTGTACGGGCCCCCAGCCACAGGTCGTCTAGGACACACATAGTCAGCATCATCGGTCACGGATCTGAATAAGCTGAAAGACCAGAAAGCCTGGGATTGCTTCCTAGTAAGGTACTGGTGCTGGATTCTTGGTTTAGGAGCATAAGAGTTGAGCCACTGCAGGCAGTGGGAAGGCCCACCCTGTGGGCACAGATGCTGATGGTTGGGTAGATGCTGGAGGGAGCTCGAGAGAGTTTTCTTCAGGTTGATCCTCTGTTCTCGGAATCGTAAGTGGGGTCACCTGCTGAGAACGGGCCCAGGCAGGTGTGAGGAGAGAGAAGGTGTGAGAGTGGGTGAGGGGATGGTCTGTCCTTGGGTTAGTGTGAAGGGCATACTCAAGTTAGGGTCATGAATTTATAGTGAGATGACACAGCATGGTCTCCTCGTCCCCCCTCCCCCTGCTCCAGCCACTTTCAGCCACATGAGTAGAAAGAGTGAAGGGTTGAATTTAACCAGGGTTGGGGGTTTTGCCAGGTGAAATGGTAGAGAGTTGCAGGTGTGAGCAAGGGAATGATTATAATGTTAAACCAAGGCTCTAAGCTGGGTGAGGGAGGTCAGGACGCAGGGAAGGTAAGGGATGGTGGACAGGTGTTGGGGTCACGGTGGGGTTGAAGAAATCGTGAGCTGGATGCTAGGAGGGGGTGTTTGGGGAACCCATGCTTGGGGCACAGTTTACTAGGCAAGAGCATGTCTAGGACATGCTCATGCACATGGGATGCCCGGGTGAGTTGGAGGACAGGGTAATTGGAGGAGAGGCAGGCAGTTCGCTGAGAGGTGAGGGTGTGGATGTTGAACCATTGGGAGTTGGTACCAAGGTAGCACACAGGGTCACTGGCCGGTGACTGCTTGCTGGAGCTAGACTCTGGGGTCTGGATGGGTGGCTCCAGGCCCTCACTGGCCACTGCTGCACTCAGCTCCTTACTGCACATGTAGGTCATCAGGGATGCTGTGGATACGGAGGGCTTCTTGCACCCTGGTTTTCTTTTTGTGTGTTACATGCTAAGCTTTAAGTTCCGTGATGGCAAGGACCATTTTTTCTAGCTGCGTGTCTTCAGTGCCTAGAACAGCACCTCATACTTATGTACGTGTGCTGAGTTGTGGTGTGGTGTACATACATGGTACATGCATGTTAAATTGAGCTTCCCATAGATAGATCTGTGGATTTGGAAACCGTGGAAGTAGATGGTTTGATTTTTCAGATTGAGGGCCCGTGAGGATGGGGCTCGTTTTATGCAACTCTTGCCTCCTCTGTGCCCAGCGTACTCTGTGACCTTTAGTGAGGCTCTCTGCATCTGTCTGTATCCCTTTATCCTGTGTCTGCATATCTGTCTATATCATTGCCTTCGGTGTTGATAAATCACAGAGATGACTGAGAAACTGTGTTTTGTTGATTGATTT